ATATATATATATATATATATATATATATATATATATAAAGAATATCTGCACGATCGCAAATGTACAATAAACAACAACTTAGAGTAACTTTCAGACACAAAATTCCATTTTGTTCCGTCAGAAAGAAAATGGAACCAACAGCAGAACAGCTGCGTCTCCGAACAGCTGTTTTGTTCCTCAGCGTTACATGGACCAGCAAATGATTCATATAAGTACAGTCGTTTGCAAAGTTAAATGAATCAGCTTTTTAAACGAATCAGTTGATTCAACTCGCTCATTAAGACAGTCACTTGCTGCCACCTACTGACGGTTGTAGTTTCATATTTAAAAAAAAGTAGCTTATTTCATTTTTGCAATCATTTAATATTTCTACATTAAAATGTTATATTTAAACTTAACATTTATGCACAATCCATCTATGAATTTTGTTGATAGTGATTTCAGTTGTTTGTTAATAGCCAGCATGTCTTTTTATTTGATTGAATTTGACTAAATAAGAACCTAACATAACTTTTATAATACTAATAAGCCAACATCTCAGTTTTTTTTTTGCTCAAAGTTATTTCAGGGTTTTGATCTCTCAACTGAGAGAACACATCCTGTTTATTATATTATAATAAATATTACATTTAAACTTTGACTATAGCCTAGACATGTTGCATATTAATTGTAGTATTTATGAACCTCAAAGCATATGTTTGTGCATTTTGTGTTACTCCATAATGATGTTCTATTTGAGGGCATTTGTAGTGTAGGTATAGGGCCCAAACATAACCTCAAGCCCAGGGGCCCCCATCCCCCTAAGTCCTTCCCTGCTTACACGTCAAATGTCAGATACACACAGGGTTATGTTTAAAAGCACAGAAAAAACGTTCACGTAATGTTGGTTATGTCTGTGAATGTGAACAACTGGGGAAGAAATCACATGTGTATCAGTATATTAGATCTGTGAAGCTAGTCTCTTGGTCATGCTGACAACAAACTACTAACGCAACTCAACCAGGCCTTAGACGGCAATTGTTTAAATTTGGGATATTGTGAGGTGCACGTTCCCGAAGAAAATTTAGGACTACCACTGAGGGAGTTTGGAAACCGTGCTTACTGAAATAGAGAATAACTTTTTTTGAGTGACTGTGCTTTGTAACAAACAGCAACATTACACATTAAACAAAGTTGAAAGTTTAAAAAGCATAAAAGGACCTCTTTAAACATAAATGATGTTACATATGTTGGCCATTTGTATCATTGTTTTGTTCTGCTGTTTTCTCTTGCTTCTGTGAATGCATTGTTTTCAGGTTTGGTTAATCTGGGAATTGTAATATTCCACCTGGGAATTGTTTTAACCACCGTTATGGGTCATTTCAAAGTTATAACAAACATCTGCTGCTTCCTCCCCTGACAAAAAGTTTTTTTTTTTTTTTAAATCATTAAATGGAATTACTATGTGATGTATTTTTTGTTTGATGGTTGAGTTTCTTTGATCTCAATCACCATTTTACTACATCTTCTAGGGGTTAAGATGCAAAAAATAAAGAAACAGTCTTTATTTAAATAGAGGGTTTAAATGCCAGCTTGATAGTTTCTGAGACACGTCCTAAAGAAAGAAAGTTAGCACTATTGAGAAGGGGTTCTCAGATTACACGTAACACCTCTCATTTGCTTAATGGGCATAGGATCTAGTTGTATGTTGGTTTCGACACTTTACATGTCTGAATGTTTTACTGTGATGCTTTGTGCCATTAAATTAGGGTTAATTTTTATGTCTTTTTTTGCCTTAGACATGATGGTGCTGAAAGAGGAGAGTCAAGAACTGAATGAAATGGAAGAGAAAGATCATCATTTCATAACTGGAGAAAAATCTTTTAGTTGCTCACAGACTCAAAAGACTTCAAGAAAAAATGCTCAAATGATAGAAAGTAGTAGTTATTTCTCCTGCCAACAGTGTGGAAAGTGTTTCAGTCAAAAAGCAGGTATTAAAAGACACATGAAAGTTCACACAGGAGAGAAGCCTTATGCCTGCCATCAGTGTGGAAAGCATTTCAGTCAAAAAGTAACTCTTAAAGCACACGTTAGAATTCACAATGGAGAGAAGCCTTACACGTGTCATCAGTGTGGAAAGAGTTTCACTCAACTTGGAAACCTTGGAGTCCACATGAGTGTTCACACTGGAGAGAAGCCTTACAAATGCCAACAATGTGGAAGAAGTTTCAATCAGAAAAGAAACCTTAATTGCCACATGACAATTCACACTGGAGAGATCATTTTCACCTGCCAACAGTGTGGAACAAGTTTCACTCACAAAGGAAGCTTTAACAGACACATGAGAATTCACAATGTAGTGCAGCCTTACACATGCTCTCAGTGTGGAAAGAGTTTTGATCGACATGAAAACCTTAAAGTCCATATGAGGACTCATAGAGAGAAACCCTACACATGTTCTGAGTGTGGAAAGAGTTTCCGTCAAAAACGGCACTTTGAAGACCACATGAGAATTCACTCTGGAGAGCAACCCTACACATGCCCTCAGTGCGGAAAGAGTTTCAATTACAAACGACACTTTGAAGAGCACATAAGAACTCACACTGGAGAGAAGCCTTTCACCTGCCAACAATGTGGAAGAAGTTTTAACCGAAAAGGAACCCTTAACCGGCACATGAGAACTCACACAGGAGAGAAGCCGTTTACGTGTGGTCACTGTGGAAAGAGTTTCAGATATAAAGCAGCCCTTAAGTACCACATGAGTTTTCACATATGAAAGAACTGTATTTTATGTCATCAGTGTGGAATTGTGGAAAGTTTCACAGATGGGAAACATTTTAGGAATCATGTAATAGCAGAGAGAAGCCTTTCCTGTGCTATCACTGTGGAAAGACTTGCAAATGTGAAAATACCTGATCAGCGGATTTAGGCCTTGTTTACACCTGGGTTTAAAATGTGTTTTGGTTGATCAGATCACAAATACTCCGTATCACCGTCTCTTGTCCACTTTCAACCACTTCTGTCCCCATTTTTTCAAGAAGAGGGCCAATGGATGGGTAAACGCATGGGATTTTTCAGATATTCTGATCAAATGCTATAAAATACATTCTCACAATATACATATAAACGCAAAATGAGACAATGGAAAAAGATAAGCAGCAGCATTAATTTCTACTCTGATAGCTGCAAAACCACACCAAACGCTGTGGTTGCATGTTAGAATTGAGGATTGGTGGAGAACATTATGCTTGGTAGGTTTGATTAATATGTAAATATGTGCTGCATGTTTTCCTTTCATTAACAAAATAAATGTGATAAAACGTACTCGTTTACTAACGTAACATCGGTTCCCTGAGATACGGGAACGAGTACTGCATCGCTAGACGCTTAAGGGGTAAAACTTATTTTTTACCGATAACTGAAGCCATTTTCAATAACACTGAGTAACTGCACGGCCATTGGTTCATGCAGTGAAATAAAAATAAAAAACCCAATGGCGAGATAGCGGAGCTGATGTCTGCTATGGACAGTATTTAAGACGCTCTCTGGGATGTTTGTAGGTTCCCATTGATAGCCCATAGGTGCAGAGCCCACAGCTCGGGCTGGGGGTGCCAAATCGTCCTGTTTGCCTGGGGGTCCTTTGCAACTTGAAGCAGTTGCAAAGCTTGAGCGCTTGGGCAAGAAGTTTTGCATCGCCTGGGATGACTTCCGCACGGCGGTGAAGTGCTCTGCAAAACCCTCGGCAAAGCCTTCTTGATCTTGAGTCAGGTTTAGCCATAAGGTGCTCCAGCACCACTAGACTGGCCATCGACAGGTCAACTGTACTGTTGTCTTTGTGGCTCGTAGGGCCAAGTCTGTCACGCTGCAAGCCATGGGGTCGGGTCTGGACTTGTCCATGCAGCGGAGTTTGGCCTGAAAAGACCTGGAGTACGGACATAGAGTGAAGCTTAGAGGCCGCCTGGCCAGCCGAGGAGTAGACACGTCCAGCGAGGGCCAAAGTAGTCCTACACTGCTTGGACGGATGGCAGTGGGCGGGCAGAGGTGCGTGGCCACTGACTCATCCAGCGGAGGCAGCTTCTTGTAGCCCTTCTCTTCAGCGCCGTTGATGAAGGTGAGGGTAGATGAAGCAGACGTGCGGAGGCAAACTGAGTAGGGAGCATGCCACGATCTTGTGAGTTTCTCATGGACCTCCAGGAAGAATGGAGAGGCTTGCTGAAGAGGGGCCTAGCGGTGCCCCGGCAGGAACCATTCGTCCAGGCGACTGCGAGCGGGCTCCTTTGGTGTAGACCACTCCAAACCCAGCTCCTCGACCGATTTAGAGAGGACACGGAAAAGCTCGGCATCCATCCCTGTTTTGGCATCGCTGGGATCTGTAGAGGGCAAGGGGGCGGTGTCAATCGTTGAGTCCAACAACTCCTCTGCGTCTGAGGCTGCTAGAGACATGCTGTCATCAAGTCACTCGTGCTAGCAGAGGGACACTGGTCTGGGTGAGAAAAGAAGATGGGAGAGTCATCTCTGTTTGGTGAGAGTGAGACACGCGGGGCTTGAGCCGGCATGAGCTCACTCGCAGCTGGGCGCTGAGTCCCTCTGCCCCACTATTTTTTCCTCACAGGCTCCTGGGATGAATAAAACAGGAGGGCGCGAAGGGCGGAGTCGCTCTCTGAAAAGCAAGCGATCCGAGCAAGCAGAGAGGTGAGACTCATGTTCTCACAATGAGAAAACTTCATCTCGGTGAGAGCAGGGAATTCCTGCACTAGGCGCAATGATTTTAGGCTCGCCAGATGATGGCAGGGGACGAGCTGAAATCTGCACAGAACACTGAGGTGGCTCGAGAGCAGAGAGAGAACAGCAAAGCGGCGCAGGTCGCTGAATCGGCTTCTATCCGCTGCGACAGCATGTCAACGACGAGCGGCTTCAAGTCTCGTAGATCAGCAAAGAGATGATCATCATCGCGTCAGTCGAATTAATCTGAGGATCCTATGCCAGAATGCCCAATTATATAGCCAGATGTCCCCGCCCATTCTGGTGGGCTCTGGCCAGTACGAGTGAAGTATCGATAGGGAACAGCATTTGTGAGCGCATCATAGCATTGTGGATATTGTAACATTGCTAACTCTGTTTCCTGATTTTTTTTCATGAGGTAATTTTGCTACACACCTCTAGGGGGCGCTTATGTGCCTTATTCCCAGGTATAAGTCAGGTAGATTCATAGAAGAGATGAGTTGACAAGTGACTTCCGGTTCCCATCCATCACATACTCTTTGAGTAGGTAATTAATTTCAATAAGTACACACTTAACAAGTGTTAAAAGAGTACTTACTATATATGTGAATACTATATAGCTGAATGAGTTAAGTATAAATGCATTCCGGACGTCATCCTCTATGTTGACATTATCATGTGACTTAAATTGTTGTGCTTGTTATAATGTCGTAAAAGATATTAGCGACTGGTTCAATTCATCTATCTGTAAATATCTTGGAAAGCTGTATCTTCAACAAGACCACAAGATATGCAAGTTTAATCAATTTCATTTATTTTGTGATCGTAGTATAACCAACATATTTTGATTTATATTTTGAACCCTACTAATGTGACCCACAGTTTAATCCTTAAGGATATATATATATATTTTTTTTTTATTATTACGAAAACCCAACATTTTTATCTCTTGAATATGTTGTTAAAGTTTGCACATAAAATAAATACATTTTCATTCACAAGCAAAAGTCTCCTTTGTGTTTTCCTCTTGAATTTTACTCTCGTTTCATCCCTCTGGCTTATAAATAATAATAAAAAGCAATTTTTTTATGCATTACGACAAATTATAAAAAATTATTTAACCTTGTCATTGTGCTGTCAGTGGCAAAACAGAATATACAGCTTTGTGGGACTTGATTAAACATCTGCTCACACTGTCTCATGGACAAGGGGTAGTGGAACGAGGATACTTTATCAACCAAGATATGCTTGTTGAAAACCTTAAAGAGAGGTCTCTGGTAGCACTGCGCATGGTCCAGGATGCAATGGCAGAACATCCATTGGATGAAGTCCTGCTTAGAGGTCTCATACTACACTGTAAATGAGCAAGGATGAGATATATGCAGTACTTGGAGGATGAAAAGAAAAGTCCAAACGGCCAATGAAAGGAAAAGAAAAGACCTGCACCAAGATATTGCAAATGTCAATGCAAAACAACCAAATATAATGCACTGCATTGAAATGCAAAGAGGCAGCTGAGAAAAGAGAGGAGCTAGCAGCTCTAGAACAAAGTCTATCCAGAAGTCTTAAAAATAAGAATACATTACTGAATCTGTGATCCATGTCTTTTATTCCCATCATAATGAAATTTGAAACACTGTAGAGTAAACTGTTGAATTGTTGATGCGATTTTAACACTAGGAACCGTGTTTTTGGTTTGTAATACGCGTTGCAGGCCTGAACCAGCACATAAATCACACTCCGTAAAATATATAATTATTATGAACTAAATTTTTGAAAATATTGAGATTTAATTACTGTCAATATTGCACACCTCTAATGTACAGTATTACATGGAAAGTCAAAGTAAATTGGACTAAAAATGTGCAGTAACCCTGGAAATGCTTTTAATCTCAAGTCAGTCCTGTTAATAACATCTTGTGGCCAAAAGATGCAACTCCTGTGACATAAGATCTTATGGCAATCAGGGTTTTGGATTGTGGGGGGAAAAAATCAATTTAATCGATCCATTGTCTGAGCAAATATGAAACATTTAGCAAGCTTTAACTTTGACTGTAGTATTCTTTTGCTCCTATCAATTCAACATCAACATCTTACCATGTTTTTTTCAGTTGGGCTGGCACATGTTTCAGTCTCTGCAATGTAGCACTCTGCATCCTTCTCTCCAAGATCGGACTTACATTTCATCACAGGATCTGGAACAAAACAGAAATCACAAATAATATTCAAGTACCATTTATTTATGTACTCAAATGTACTTTATCAGTATCCATATTACTTTCATTGCAAGTTTGTTAAATGCATTTAACTTACAAATGGATCTTATTAACTTGAATCCATGTGTTTTAAACACATATTTGGTATTTTCTGATACACTAAAGTAGATGCTCATATTTTCCACACAAAAAAAAGTGCACAGTGATTCACACTTTTAAATGGCTTAACATTCTGCAACGCTTCCCTTGTTTTATGAAAGCAATACAGTATTAAATGGCACAAGGGCAAGTAAATGGTGACACTTTTTATATTAAAAAAAGGGTTAATCCCTTATAAGATCACTATGATAATCATTGCAATTTCGAAAGTAATTCCACATTTATTATGCAGGTGACATTCCCAAAATTTTGCTGCATGTATGTGCCCATAGGTCCCAGGGTTCCTACACATTTTGGAAAAGTATGGAATTTGATTTTAGTATTTTCCAGGTCTGGTAAACACCCTAATCGAGATCTTCCTAAGCATACTACAGTAGAAACTTCCAGGCAGGTGTGTTGAGGCAAGTTGGAGCTAAACTCTGCAGGACACCGGCCCTCCAGGACTGAGTTTGGACACCCCTGCGATTAGCCAATCACAAACACATCTGACTGGCCATTGCATTCACATGCTCAATAAACATGTCTAAAGCCCTATTCGCACGGGATTAGTATTATCTGGGGACCTTGTGTGATTTTGAAACATCTGAATTTCGTGTGGTGCATTCGCATGGGATAAGCGAAGCCTGTGATTTTACTCTAATTCACTGACTTATCTCTCGGATACCCGTATGTCAAGGCTTTGAGAGTCCCGTTTATGGTCCAGATGGATTTAAAAAAAAGAAGAAACTAATAT